CATTTTGGGGCATAACTTAACTAACACTCCTCCCTGGTGGACCAAGTCCCTGGCACCCAGTCCATAGAGTCCAGTAAATGGCCGGCGCGTCTTCACCGAGCTCCAACCAGCCAGTTGTGAAGCTTCAGAAGGATCCACTTGACTTTGACTGGTTTGTCTTTATTTTCTCTTTCCTATACTCTCTCTCTCTCTCTCTTTCCCTCACGCTCCCTCTTTCCTATACCTCTCTGGTATTTATGTGTTGGCAGTTACCATGGAAACAAGACACACAAACACTGTGGCGGTAGGCAGGAAGTGCTGCGGAACCACAATGGCGTCACTGCGGCTCTGCGCTCGCTCCCCTCCTCGTTCTTTCTCTCGGGCCCGCCCCGGCCCGGCGTGCACGCTACTATCCCTAGCGGGCCGCGCGGAGACCACACTGCTCTCTCTTTCCCTCTGCGCTCTCGCGTCGCTCTCATTATTATTAGCATTGCTTTTTCAGCTGTGTCCCCGCCCCCCCCCCACCTCCATCTTCTCTCGCTTTCAGCGTTACACCACGCTAGCTGGAAAATCTCTCGTCTGCTTTGCGGTGTCTGGAAAACCGGTCTGCAGGGCGTTCACAGCGGATAAGCTGGTCCCATTTCAAAACTGGGTCAAGAATGTGTTTGGGTACACTGTTTGTTTTGGAGACTGTGAGAGGCCCGCGAGTAACGTCAGGGTGGTGCACTGGGTGCGTGTGATCGAAGGAGTCGACCGGTGAAGTGAGAGGCGGAATAACACGAATGTGTGGGATCCCATTGCAGACTCTTACATCAGACTGGCATCAGTGTACTGTACACATCCCTCCTGTTCTCCCTCTGTCTTTATTACACATCGCAGCTCTAAATATACTCTGGAAAAAACCCCTCGAGAAGATACCGCCCTCCACCAAGTCCACATGCTAAAAATACCCAGCCACCTTTACAACCCCCTCCTCGCTCGCCTTTCCTTCTGTCCACTCGCTTGATTGCTGCCGTTGTCACTTGTTCAGTTTATAATGTTACACAACGCAACTTTTTATGTGTTTCTTTTGTTTTTTTACTACTTACTTTAAATCCTTTTCCTGCTTGTTCCTCCTCCCTCTGTTGCTCTCCTCATGGTGGCCTCTGCTCCCGGTTCCTTGAGGCTGCTCAGGCTTTCTGCTGACATCAACAGCCAGCCTTCCCTCCATCACTCCCTCCATCACTCCCTCCATCAATCCTTCCATCCCTCCTCCCATCAATCCCTCCATCACTCCCTCGATCAATCCCTCCATCCCTCCTCCCATCAATCCCTCCATCACTCCCTCCATCAATCCCTCCTTCACTCCCTCCATCCCTCCTCCCATCAATCCCTCCATCAATCCCTCCTTCACTCCCTCCATCCCTCCTCCCATCAATCCCTCCATCACTCCCTCCATTAATCCCTCCATCACTCCCTCCATCAATCCCTCCATCCCTCCTCCCATCCCTCCCTCCATCAATCCCTCCATCCCTCCTCCCATCCCTCCTCCCATCACTTCCTCCATCAATCCCTCCATCACTTCTTCCATCCAGCCAACTAGTCTTTGGACCAACCGGCCAACCACCCAGCTGGTTAGAAGAAGAGCGAAAAAAGCCATTGAACAGATGAGTTCCCTGGACACACAAACACGACAGAAACCGAGGGTTGGAAAGATTGAAAAGATTGAAAATAGACGTATCTTCATTGAATTTGGATCGTGCTTCCGGCCATTCTGCATCCATAGAAAACAATTCACACGCAAGTCAAGAAACAGTAAACGAGAAGCATCCAAGAACATAATGAAACTGATGCTAAAATAGAAAGCATTGTCTATTTGTCAACTAACGGGATGTAGGGGGACAATGGTTGAAACGTTAACGGCATAAATTATTGTGAATTGAACGCTGCTTTTTTTGTTAATGGCCCTTTGCCTGGAAAAGTAGAATAGAAAAAAAGAAATAAACAGCCAGTTATATATATCATACTTTTCCGTGCGAGGAAGTGTTCGTCGTTTACTGTACACGTAAGACGTACGTTTTCTGTCTTTGTTTGTGTGTGTTCGTGGTGCTCATTGGGAGAGGAAGCATATCTGGGGCCATATGGCGTTTCTGTTCCTGCTCAACTGACATAATCCGGATTGACACCCGGCCCGGTGACTTCCTCCGTCTCGTTAATCACTCTTGTGTTAACAGGCGCACAAACTCCAATTCCTTTGCCCTTTACAGCTCCGCACCACATTCCGCTCTCCCTCGTTAGCTCCTCGGCTCCAGCATCAGCCTGCAATGCTCCTTCCCAGCTGGCCCGGCCCACTAAGCATTGACCTCTGACCCTCCTCTTCCCTCCCATAAACACATCCATGCCATGCTTTCTCCACCTGTTGCTCACCTGCTGTTTGAGGGGTGAAACCAGACGGGAGAGGAGAGAATATGTCTGTTTGTATGGCACCGAGATAACAGAAGAAGTCCCTTTTTTATTTAGAAACACACAACATGCTCCCATGAGCGAGCCGAGTTCGGGCCATGAAGGAAAAACTCCCTCTTAACAGGAAAGAAACCTCGAACAGAACAAGAGTGGGCGACTATTTGCTTTGACTGGTTGGGTCCAAAAAAATAAAAAAGGAGCTTTGTTCTAAGTTTAGGTGTGTACTTTGGCTCGCCGGCCCTTGTGTTGTAAAACTGTGAAAATAGAAAAAAAGAGGTGGGGAAAAGAAGTGAAACAACCCACAACTGTTGGAGGACAGGTGATAGTTCTAGTTTGTTATCTCCACGAGATAAACCGGCCAAGTAGGATCAACGCCGGGCCGTGATTGGCTGATTTGAGCTTAACCTCTGCACATCGGGAGATAAAACGAGAGATTGAGGGTAGGGGAAAGTTGCACACAAAGAAAAACTTTTGGTGGTTAGATAATGACGATTGCTGTATGATTAAAACGCTACTCTGCAAACAATCTTGCATCTTACATTTGGCATAGTGATTTATATCATGGGATCGAAGCTTACTAAATTGAACTGAATGAAGAGGACAAGAGACGGATGGAAACGTGGAGTCATAAAGTGAAAGTCAGTAGTCAGCTTTGTCTATTGGAGCGTCCTTTCATGATACTGAAAAAACAGGGACACGTCGTTGCAGGAGGATGAAGGTGGTCTGTGTGGTAATGTTTCCGCCGGTCTGTCAGGGTCAACAGTAGCCAAAACACACATTCGGTGTGGGATGAGCCACGGTCCGTAAATCACAGCCCACGCACACATAAATCTGCAGACTCCTCAGTGTAAATAAAGCCAGTGTTCTCCACCACCTAAAGGAGCCCTCCACCGAAGCAACCGGTCGTGGGAAAAGAAACACATCAGTCACAGGGGAGGGAGATGAAGGCGGACCCGAGAATAATCAAACTCCCCTCATCAGAGAGATAAAAAAAACAACAACAACTTTTTCCAGTTTGTTCCAAAAACAGATATTTGTGAAAAGAAACAACTAGATGCAACGTTTGTTTGTGCAAAACCCGGTGGCCCTCCTCAACGTGGAGGCGACGGACAATTAATGGTTGTGTTATAGCAAGTTAAGCCAAGGTGTGCACAACTGGGTGTGCCTTTGTGTGCGTTTCCGCTGCCGCCCCCACCCATGTGAAGTGTGCTGCTGGGAGAGGGAATGTGCCCGTACTCGTGCTCTCTGATGCGTCGGCTTCCCTTCCACTTTCAGCCCATGCGCGCTCCCGTCCCAGCTCCGCCTTTGCAGTCGCCCGTCTCTTCTTGACTCGGCTTTAATTTGCTTGATTTGTTTGTTGGTGTTGTTGTTGTTATGGTGAGCACCAACGATTCCCCTCTCTTTTCTAGTTTCTGCCCTCTCCCTCTCTGTGCGTGTTGGTGTTTCTTGTCCTTATTTGGCTTCTCCCTGAGTGAGGGGGAGTGTGAGTATGAATGTGACCGTGTGTGTGTGTGTGTGTGTGTTTCCTCCTGACTGTGAGTCACTGCTTGCCTGACTCACGAGCGCTAACAAAAACACACCGTTGCCATGGCAACCCCCTCCCCTTCCTCTCTCATCTCTCTCTCTGTCTCCCCCTCCCTGCGAGTCTCTGGTTTCTCCCTTCTTGCGGGCACCGCTGCAACCCAGGCAGCCCTGGCACGGGCACACGGGGGGCCGGGTGGGGTGGGGGGGGGGGGGGCGCACTCTAACTCGGGTGGGATGAGAGCAGAAAGAACACAAACGCAAGTAAAGGTAAAACCTGGTGAAAACATTCTGTGCATACAGAAAACTTTAAGGAGGACAGAAAGCAAGCAAACAGTCGTCTATAACCAACGGCTGTATTGGCTGGGAAGGGCCAAACCGAAAGTTGCCACCCCGGGGGTCTCTTCTCTGCTTCCGCTCTCTCCTGAGTCGGCCCTGAACCGCGCCGGTCCTCTGACGTCACTGCTTGGCCTCGCCGTAACCGCCAGCGAGGCTTGATATGTGGCCCGCGTGTGGCGCTGCGTCTCGGCAGAGGTCAGGTAGGGCCCTGGACGACCCATCGACCTCACGCTGTTTGGCTTACTTCCTGGAATGTCGAATGCTGGTAGTGCGCCAGCTAGTGGACGGAAAGCACACACGTACACACGCATATACACTGTGTAGGGCAATGAAAGAGGCATCTTCATTTGACTGTGGATTACACCAAATATATATATACAAAAAACAAAGCTACGATTGATTGATATGTATGCCTAAGTTATAGTTTCAGGCCCCTTCAGATGATGCAACTTGTTTCATCTCGGGGTCCTTTCTGATCGTCGCTGGCTGGTGGTGAATTGTCTGAGAACAGGGTAAAACTGAGATAAGTACGCTGGCATAATTGGAGGGGGCGATGGTTGAGAAAGAGAGAAAAGGAGGAAACGGGAGCAAATTGGAGATATTGTAATATCCCAATAAAATAGCCCAATAAACCACTGAGAAGGAGGAATGTGAGAGAATGACATAGTTTCAGCTACAGGATTACGCACTATGGGAGCTTTGAGAGATGACAACAGCAATTTAATATATTCAAAATCGCCAGTCACACTTTATTGATAAAAATGCAACCTGCCATATATACTGTTTATGCATCAGTCATGGTAACACAAGAGTATTTTTCATTTTGACTGTCAGAACAAACTCACTGACGGATGCACAGAGATGAATACCCGACACGAGGGCTGATTCATGGGCACAAAACAAAGACACGACGTCCAATTATGGGAGTCTCCAACTTGCGGTCCCTCTCGTAGTGATGCATTTTTATCAACAGAGCAGGGATCAAGGCATCCATGCCTTCTCCACACCCACACGGGACTCCAAATGTGTGCACGACAGCTGTCCCTGTGTGTGAAGTAATCCTCAGTAAGCTCGCTGGCTCCCACAGTCTCTTTCAGCAGATCCTCCGGAGCATCTCTGACGTCACTGCCGGAGCCTCCGCTACACTCCCTCCGGCCCACGAACCTGCACGTCGATCCCGTCCCTGATCCTCCGGCATTCCATCCAGCTACTCCCCCCCCCCCCCCAGGCCCCACGGCCCCACATTTAATTAAAGGTGGATTCTAAGTTAGATGAAAAGAATTTTACACCATTCTAGTACTGTCCGTGTGGTGTCGCATGGAGCTATGTAGCTGGTGGTTAGCTTAGCTTAGCATAAAGACTAGTCACAAGGGACAACAGCCGGCCCGGCACCGCTAAAGCTCACTCACTAACGTGCCGCATCTTGTTTGTTTAATCCGTACAGAAAACAAAGCGTAAAAATGACATTGGAATTTTGGGCCCACCGGTTTGTTGACCCCCGACCTGTTGCCAGGCAACCGGTAAAAAGTTACTGCGCCTAAACTAAGAAGTTCCGAACAGGATAAAACTGTGGTTTGTGTGAGACGTCCTGCGTTTGTGGTTCAAGTTTGCCCTCTGCTGGCCTCCTCCAATGACACACGCCTCACCGTGCTTTTGTCCTGAGAAATCCGGTATTCGTCATTCACCTCGTCAATACATTCACTGCTAGTGGTGCGGCCCTTTGTCACGCACAGGCACACCGCAGCACTTTGGGAAAAGAGGTTAGAGGTGAAACACGATTAAGACGCAGTGCTAGACGACAAGCAACGTGAATGAGCTCTATGTGAAAGGAGGAGACGTCACACACAACCGCTGTCCTTCTCTGGGAGGATTATTACCCGACACCTGCGTGGGCTGGAGGTGGAGGGACTCAACTATTTCACAGTGATCTTCTGACAACTTTGGGAATTCCTCTGACCGATGAGCTAAAATATCACCATGAATATCCACAATCATTGTCGCATAGAACTCTAAATGCAGTCCGTGATGATGGGATACTGGTTTTTATATATAGTGTTGATACATTTTAAATATAAAAATAACTGTCCCCCTTATCTTTTAGAAACAAGGTACATTTGTACACAGGTACACATACACGGTGCTTTTCAAGACGCTCTTCCTTCCCAACAGTGGGATTTTACCTAATTATTCAGTTTATTCTGCAGTCAGACAGCTCTTTTTTCATGCTGTACTTTGAAGAGGGAATGAAAGCTGTTAAATGTTAAATCCATAGTGCAACTCTTTCCGTCCGTCACATTGAGTTCCAGGAAAAAAACGTCTTCTGTTGCATGGGGGATGTTTGGTTCGTCCTCGTCCTCGCGCAGCGCTGCAGAGCGCTCACATCTCTGGTGTCCTTGGTCCGATGGGGGCGCGGCAGGAGCCTCAGAAATTGCTGAACAGCTCATATTTCTTCATCCAGTCCATTTGCGGCGCCTTCTTCTTTTCTTTGGCGTGCACCTTTAGCTTCTCCTCCGCCGCCGTGGCGCTCAAACTCAGGCCCATCTCAGCGAACGGGTCCGTCATCCGGCCGCCGTCATCGTCCGCCAGCTGCACAGAGACAAAGACAGAAAAGACTTGAAGGGTGCCGCGTGAGACACCAAAGACCAAACGCAGCAGCATCCGTGGACGCTCGCGCCCACCTGTGTGCTGTCGCCCCGGCTGCTGAGGTCGGAGTGGATGGACCTGATGGAGCGCGTGGTGGAGCTGCCGTTGATCCGGGGGTTGAGAGAGCCGTTGGACATGGACGGGCCGTCGTAGTCTGGGAAAGACAAACAAACGAGCAGATATGTTGTTGTTTTTCACGTATGTATGTACATTAATGACACATTATAAAGAATCCAGAATGCATGCTTCGTTCCAGGGGCGCAGCTTCCCAACATGTCCAGCTTATCGGTTGAGTCTTATTAGAGGGGAAATAAGGACGTTGTTGAATTAGTTTACCTCCACTTATTTGTTTAATGTCCATCTAGACAACTATCTCATGTCCTGTTACAACAAGCACCTTTTTAATTCCAGGCCCATCCAACTCTTCAAACAAAGCCAATTTGGGAATATTGAATCTTGCCTGTCCAATAAGTCAAAGATGACCTGATTTTTTCCAGCAAAATGCCGGCTTTGACTTTCTGATACGACCAAGAGCTTTTGCACAACTGCCTTACTAAAAGCTTAGGCTAGTGTGTGCAACATGGGCTTCAGAGCGGTCCTACCTCTGACGTGGCTGACCGCAGGGACAATCCCTCTCCTCTTGAACTCTTCGTCGGTTTCTGGATCCACCACCAACAGCCAGGTCGCATCTCCCCCTTTCTTTATGAAGGCCACCACCTCCGCATGCCGCATACCCTCGATGTTCACGCCGTTTACCTGGAGGACACAGAGACAAAAATGAAAGGGGCTTTCTGGTGAGAAGGAATGGAATTTGAGATGGTTTTGTAGGTTTGTTGTTGCAGTATTAGGGTTCTCTATCAGCACACCAGTGGCAGACTGGGGCTGTCTGAGGGACTGCATACAGTCTTTTCCGCTTGAGGAGCACCCGATGGCCCTTAATCATGTTTTATCTCCCAGGGGCCTCCAGGAGGGCCCTTTTGAGGCAAATGAAGGGTGAATGTTATGTGTGTAAACCGATGTGAAAGATGTTACTTCCTCATCCATTTCTCGTTTTCAACGCCTATGACATATGACCATTTCCTCACTTTTTGGGATACATGTTTCTTTCAAAGAGGAGCAGTCAACCACTGCTTTATTATACTTTTGATTCAACTTGAAATTCATTTGATTAAACTCTATCACATGGATTGACTTTTACCCTTCTTAATTGTAATGTATTGCCCTACTTTGCCCCTTCAAAAATGCACAATAAATGTCCATTACCCAAAAGGTTCCCAGTTAATTGTGATTTCTGCTCCCTGAAACATAAACAACCAAATCATCAATCATCAGATTTTTTCTTACTCAAATCTCTCCAGACCAGTGTGTTGTTTCCACATTATTTTGAATGCAACATCAGTCTTTTCTTCTCCATTGTTGACATTGTCAACAAACACTGTGCTACCGCATTTGTCCACTAGGGGGAGCCACGGCTCAACATACGGTCCATACACCCTTTAACATGACTCCTGAGAGCCTGCAGCTCTCCACAAAATGCAACGGTGGTTCAGCAAAGCCCTTGAGGACAGCTGTACATCTAGCAGCAAAGTTAGGATCTACCCAAATGAAAAAAATAAGTATTGTCCAAACTTTCTCAAGAGCATTTGAGGTAATATCAGGCCGAGAAACAGGGACACAGTGACTTTGTGTGCAGGCGACTGACCATCGAGGTGTCAATACCGCCGTTGAAAATCCCGATAGTCTGTCATTGCTTGCTCTCATCAAGGAGCCGCATGCGTCTGGATGCTCGGTCTTGACCGTGGCCTCTCTGAGGCAGGCAGCTTCGCCTCACGGCCAGTTTGTGTTGATACATAATCAATTATTGATGGCTCGCCTGGGCTCGTGGCCTTAGTGCGGGTTTCAGGTGTCCGAGTCCTCAGGGGGAATTTATTTCAATTTCACCGCTTGTGGCAAGACGGGTCATAGTAAAGAAGAGAAAAAAGGAACTTTTTTTGCTCTCACTTGTTGGTTAGGAAAGAGAAAATAGGTCTTTAGGCAAATTGGTTTGATGAGAGACTGGGAATAGAGAGAGAGAGAGTCCAAAGAAAGGGTGGGATCAACAGATGGAAAATAAAATATATCGAATCTTTTCTTCCCACGACTCATGCCATTGATGAGCCCCTGCGTGTCTCATCAATGGCACGAGTCGTGGGAAGAAACACAACAGTTTGATGCCGAGGGAACGAGCATCTTTGTATTCAGCAAAACAACAGGTGTGGTGTCACGTTTCACAGCCCTTCATTAACAGTCCGTCCCACACAGGACAATACACTCTGCCCACAGGGCTAATTGATACGCGCCGGAGGAACAGTACAGGCGCTTATTTCTCGTGGGACAATTCCTCTGGGAAGCTGTTAGTACCAGTGTGTGTCTGTGTGTGTGTGTGTGTGTGTGTGACATTCACCGGCACTTTTTTGATGCTGTGTGCGTTTTTGAAAGAGCATCCGGACGAACCTCGGATCAAACCACAACAATTTCAAATGCGTCTGCACATCTGTCTCTGTGACGCACGTATAACGTTCAAGTCTTTCTTTATTTCTCTTCTTTAATCAGGATCCCCTTTAGCACTGACACAGTGGATATTCTTCCTCACGCGATTAAACACGACACACACATAGCAAACATCAAGCCAAAGTATCATCGATAAATATCCTTCATCCTGCACCTGCACACAATCAATTCCAACTCGGTGCAGATTTCATTTCTTGCACCATAAACAATAGTTCAAACACAGAAAGAGTTCCAAATATAAGCTCAGTTCTCACAGAGGCCGAGCAGCCGACTATACGACAGGTGAGTAATGTGTTTCCAGGAATTGAAGCCTGTTGAAAACTCCAGGACCAGGACACGTTAAACGTCCTGTTAAAGGTGATGGACGACTCAGCAAATGCACAGCCCGTTTACGCCTCCAAATTCATTCAGCAAATGATTTAAGGTTTTTTCTTTGCAGTAAAAAGATTATATTTCAGTCCGCGCAGTGAGATGTCCCGATGCCTCGGCTCTAAGGACACTATTTGATGATTGAAATGAAGGACAAAGGCTGTTGCAGAAGTCATTTTCCCCTTAATTACCATCGAGAATACAGCTACAACCTCACCAGACACACAGCTGTGCTTTGAGCCAAACGATAACGTCGAAATGCTCAAGAGCGAGATCAACGATGCCGACAGGCTGCTGCAAACCAGCTAAAAGGTTTGCCTAAAAACCCCGTGTGGTTTTGAGAAGTAATGTGTGTGAAAGCTCTGCGAGCCGATCTGTGTCCTATGACGAAACGTGTGTGGCGCACTTTCGTATGTTCATTTATATTTAGTGGCGTCAGCGCTTTCGCCAAACGCTGGCAGAGGGAGGAGCTCTCGTCTCGACCTGGGCCGCGGGGAGAGAAAGACAAAAGGGGACGGGGGGGACGGGGGGACAGAGACCCGCGTCACGGTTGTTCACCTCTGCAACGGGCTGCAGACAGATAACACAAACGGTCACTTGACGCATGGTCAGAGACGGATGCAGTTATCAGTGCGTGAACACACACACACACACACACACACACACACACACACACACACACACACATATAATAGCAGCCAACTACATCACCATAGATTTTGAGTCCAACAAAACTTAAATGCCCGTGAAATACCAAAAGGCTAATTCAAGTTTCTATAAAACAACTGGCGTATTTGGCTTGTTTCAACTTGGCCTGCAAACAACCAAAACAAACATTCTCTATAATATCCATTTAGTTAGCAAATTGTTATCACGAACATATAAATCCTCACATTGGAACAGCTACGTTTAAGCGATATTCGTTTCTATATACTTAAAAAACCCAACAATAAAATTAGTTAATTTTTTCTAGACATCTAGTTATATTTCATCTAAGTTATATTCAAACCTTTGCTTTGGCAATGCATATTGCAAATAAAACTTTTAATTGGACTGAATTTGGCACAACTGTGATGCTAAATTGAAGTGTCCATGGAGATGACTGACTGTCACCAGTGAGCTGCTGCAGGATGTTCACACACTCATCCGCCATCCAAACAGTTTATTCATTTTAAAAAGGTGAGACGGAGTCGAAAAAAATGAACTCTGTCTGAGGTGAGACAGAGTTCATTTTTCTCCAGTGTGGTTTTGACCCTGATGTACAGCCAGTGGGGTCAAAGGTCATGGGAATGAAGGGTGAATGTTGTGTGTTTACGCTCAGATTTAAAAAAAACTTTAGGATTAAAAATGACCAAATGACTGCAAGAAATGTAATCGATAGGCAACATATCAAGAATTGCCCACGGATAACTGAATATTTTTAAAACCCTTTTGAAACACTACATCTTGTCTTGTCAGATTTACAATTCTCCAATGTTCCATTGCGATCTGCATCTATCTTATATACTTTTTGTGTTTAAATAAACACTATGGACAGAACAGACAGAAATAACAGACAGGTGAGGAGCTTCACCCAGTTAATCACTTCATTCTCCGACATGTTCCAGACTAAATAATAATCACCTCATTAGTGTGCGCGCATATTTCATGATCTCCACATTCCGCTACCCGGGTCTGCAAGTGCATGAAAGCGTTGACATAATACTTAATATTCCTCCGGTTTATCCCTTCTACTGTGGCGGATTCCCTTCAGCAGATAAAACCCCCTCAGAATGCTCCACAAGTCAGACTCAGAGAGGAGAGAACCTCCGTACCTCTTTATGCCACGTAAACATCTGGATTGGTATCGTATTTGGACCTGCGCCAAAAGTTCCTCCAGTCGCCATCATTTGCTAAAGTCCTCATGAGATGAATATTGAGAAGAAGTGTCAACATTTCATACACAACAGCCACTCCACCCAGGCTCCTCCTCCGTCCTACCTCCACCAGCCTGTCCTGAGGCCGGAGCCCGGCGTGGTCGGCGGGGGACCCGGGGTCCAGGGAGCGGATGTACTGCCCGGGCCTGGACCGGTCGCTGTGGAGGTTGAAGCCGTAGCCGGCGCCGGAGCGCGTCAGGTGGCACAGACGCGGGGCGAGCTCGGGCGGGTCGGCTTGGGGTGGTGGCTGCGATTCAGCCGGGACGGGAGCCTCCTGGAGGAGAATGGAGGAGAGAAACAAAAAAAAAGTGTGTGCTCGTGTTTTATACAGGAAGAGAGACAAAAAGACACAAATTTCATGTTCACATGACGACTAAACACGTGAAGAAGAAGACAGCAGAAGAACTCCATGAAGGTATTGTGATCATTCTCAGCTAAAAGAGGCTCCCGACAATTGGCTCATCTATGTTTTCGTTGCGTGCTGCCATTCGGTAATGGAATGCCGCTTGTTCCGCAGTGAAATTGTCCATTTGCAGCAGATTACCGATTGCTGCTGCAACAGCACCGGGCGAAGACGTCGATGGAACCCGTGCTTCATTTCACCTCGAGCTCTCCAACGTAATCACACTGATTTACCACCTACACGCCCGCGGGGGGAGAGAGAGAGGGATGGCGGCTGGTATCACGGCGAGGACGGGTAGGGTCTGCATGCGGTGCACATATTGTGTGCATGGGAGGAATGTGCAACACTGTTACGTAACGCGAGGAGTCCACTGTTTTCACTATGTGACGCCAACATCACGGTCCAGCTTGTGCCGCCTAAAAATACATACAAAGTGTGTGGGCAGGGAGAGAGAGAGTTAGAACTTATTCATTTATCTGAACTCTATCTCACTGTATCTCTTTAACATTCCTGTGTGATTCCAGCTAGTTCATGTTAGGAATCATGGCTGACGCTCGATTACCGCGACACTGCCTGCAAATTCACTCTTCAACTGTTCAAAGAAAAGATCACAGATGACAACGTGTAATTTCATTTCAGGCAGTGAAATTCTTGAGGAATTCTTAGCGGGGATCTGGGCCGCTCGCCCCGAGAAGGAGGGAGAGAGAGAGAGAGAGAGAGAGAGAGAGAGAGAGACATTGACAGCATCTCTCACAAATCCCCCAAGATCCTCCTCTTCCTGGCTCGACATGAGGTGCCTGGGTTGGGCAGCTGGGTTAGAGCTTCCAAGTGCGAGAAATACATATTTAAAAAGCAAAAACGAAGGAGGAAGAAAAATGGCAGAAGGAGGAAGAGGAGGACAGGAGCGAGCGAGGAGGAAGAGCAGCGTGGGAGGGATAGAAAACGAGATGCGGCGAGAGGGTTGAAAAAGAGAGTTCAAGAAACAGAAACCGCGGAGTTGAGAGCAGACAGATAAACAGGGGGAGTTACAGGGGTGGGTGAGGGGGGGGGAGGGGTGAGTGACAGGGGTTTCCAGTCCGCGGCCACGGGGACCAATGGAGCTCCTCTAATGTAAACAGTGTCAGTAACGCAGCTGGGAGTCATTATGTGGGGGGGGGGGAGGGGTGTCCGCACCTCGCTGATCACCCTCTGCTGCCCGGCGCCCGTCTCACACGGCGCCGGCCTTTGACCTTTGAGTGCGTTTCGGAGGTCTTTTATACGTAAAGGACAGAGACTCCCGGTGGAAAAGATGTCAGGAGCCTCAGGGCGCCGAAGAGGCGGAGAGGGCCGCGAGCTTCCCGCAGGGCGCCGCCGGAGGCCAATTGAATGAAAACGGATCACCGTGTTTGTTTGAACAGAGACTGTTGAAATTGACTTTTTTTTTTTATTTGAATGAAAATCAGTTTGATAGGAGAGGGAGAAAATGAGACTCCGGTCGTTTTTCAGCATCTTTTGTCCCCCGATGTGACGACCCGCTGTGGGAACTATTGCAGAATCCATGTTTTTTTTTCCAGGCTCGTGAATGTCATCATGGAAAATGTGGCCGTAAATCTGCGTGCTTTTTCCAAATTCTACAACAACATGGAATGTTTCACACCCACAGCAGAACATTATGAGGTTTGATGCCCCAACATAACACACACACACATGCAGTGACCGCTGGGACTGTGGCCCACTGAGAGGATGTGCTGTCGATGGATCCCACTACTTTCCCGTCACAATCTGCCTTTGTTTCCGTCAGTCTCACCATATGCATGCGGGGAAAGTGCGCCATACACTCAACGCTTGTGTTTAATAATGCTTGTGTTACATTGTCACACGGGATTGTGAGCTTTTTCAGAGGGAACGTGAGTTTAATGTCTAAGTTTAAACATGAGCTATATTCCCACTCATGATTCACTGTTGACTAACTGCCGCCCCCCTCGTCGCTGTGCCCATCAAGCGTTGAGTGTTTGCTTCATTATTTCTCCACTAAGTCATTTCATCCACATTAATGATTATTTATCAAAACTCTTCAGCACCAGAGGGCCACTTGTGTGTCTGTCGGTGTATCTTGCTCTGCATCCGACTGCTGGCAGCGGCATTGGGGCGGCTGATGAAACTAAATCGCGCCCCGTTGAATAATTGAGCGGCGCCCGACTGCGATGGTTGGTGACCACTCTTAACCCTTTCACAGCCCTCGCTTTTGTCCCACAACACAATGAAGTGCGTACGGCGTGCACGTGTGCATGTGTGCGCGGGTTTGTGTGTGCATGTGTGACATTATACGTGTCTTTGAGTTGCTACAAAGAAACTTAAATCCAGTGTCTGGGTGCATGCAAGCGTGTGAAGCTTTGTTTGTCAACAATGCTCTCACTTGGAAGCTTCCCAAAAGCGGATTAACGTTAATGAAATATGGCCATTCTGATAAAGGTTGAGTTTTTCCTGCTGAGTTTGGTTTGCTCAAGACCGGTGTGACGTCAGTAATTATCCTAGCAACTATTTTCAACGTGACGTGTGGAAACTCACTGCGGACGTTCAACTACACTCCAATAATGCGAGCGTCACCTATTGAGTTCATTTACTAAAGCCAAAGAAAACATTCCAACACGCACTGACAGTGTATGTGAACTGATCAATCAACAGACAGCACGTTAAACGAACAACAAAGCATCAGGTCAAACCACTGAGAGTGAAATTCTGCAGTTAAACTAAACAAAAAAATAAATTTTTATTCCATTTTTGAAGCCTTTCCATCGCTCCACCAGAGTTTTTTCATGACCTACAAACTTTGCCATGTTTTTTAATGTTATTTTCCCGGCCTGGAGCCTACTGTCTTTTTTCCAGTTGGAACGCCGATGTAGAAATGACAACAAGCCTAACTGTTAAAACAGCTGAAAAGAAATGGAACTTTCTGGCAAAACATTCCAATCAAGGTGGACGACACATTCTAGTGTTTGTTTCACTTCTGACAATTGAACACGGGTCCCAGAATGTTTAATTCCGTGGCGAGCATCACAACAATCCAGGAGTCCATTGTGGGAGGAGAGGCCTGACTTTGATTGTCAGTTACTGTAAAGGCATAGCAACGGTAACTAAGGGTGGTGTTTAAAACTGGTCGCTGAACGAAAGCGTTGCTGTTGTAGCGCCATGCCAGCACCAATAACAGCAGCACGTGGGACCTTGGCTGACGTCCTGCTTGACGTCTTGTTGTCATGGAGACAGCAGTGGAACCAGCAAAGTCAGTTCCCTCTTCGCTGTATTTACAGCGAAGAGGGAACTTAATTTAGGTAAGGAAATACATGCATACATATGTTTGTTATTAAAGGGAGGTTTAAAATTGTCAGAAGAGTTCGTACATCGCTCGGTGTCTTTGTGACGGCACGATACAGACTTCGTGAAAGCGAAGCCCACATGAGGCTTTAAAAAAAATGAAGAAAAATGCTGTCACTCAGATGGCCGTGACAGCCCTACCCTCAAATTGTTATTGTGGGTATCCGTGTGTGTGTGTGTGTGTGCGTCTGCAGCTGCTTTGAGTGTTGCTCAATCCAAGAGGAAAAGAGCAGAGCTGGCCAGTTCTCAGTGGGCGAGAGAGAGCGAGAGAGAGAGCAACACCAGAGAAAGGAAATGACAGGCAGCTGGACAAGACCAGAGAGGGATTTGGAACTTGTAAAAATGAAATGAAGGAGAAGGGGAGAGCAGGGAGGAAGGAGAGAGAGACAGATGGGGGCAAACGGAGAGCGAGATGCGGCCCGTGGAGCAACAGCAACAAAAAGGTTCGCAGCAGATAGGACACGGGTACCGGCCACAGATCTCCATCGCCAGCGGTCCGGCCCACTGGGCATGTGGAGTATTGCGTAACTCAAACTATAACCTCTGCTGTTCAGCACAAGTTTAATCATTTGGAACAAAAAGATCACCCGTTTGGCTCAGTTTGTTGTAGAGAATTGATGACAGGTTTGATAAAACCTTTCAGGGCTGTTTGATATGAAGCTGGAACGCTGGTTAGCTTATCTTTGCGTAATGATTGAAAAGGGAAAACAGCTGGCCTGGCTGCGTCCAAAGGAAAGAACATCTGGCTCACAGCACATCCACCGCTCACTATATCAGCATGTTGTCTGGTTGTTTGCCTTGATGATCCACTGAGTAAGATGAACCTGCTGACACGCACGTCTCTTCTTTCTTCTGATGACATTCAAACTGATCCGTCTGCAATATGCTTTTGATTATAGTTGCAACATAGTGGATTGAAGAAGGATTTGTTTTCAAGAACAGCACTAGTCCTTAACTTAAAAAGTGAGAAATCAATCATCAAAGTCAAATAATGAGAAATTAGCACAGAGCAACAGCTTTGATGCCCATCTATTATTACTTGTTTCACTCCATCCCTCCTTTATGTCACGTTGACTTTCACGCTCCATGTCACGCAATGTCCTGCGTGCTTTCAGTCCAAGTCCTTCCCGCCCTTTGACTTTTATTCTGTGTATTATTCTCCCCCATTACCTTTAAGTGCTGCGTATATTTTATGCAGTCAAGTGGCTGCAGAATACATCATCTCTGCCTTTTTGCATTTAAATGTCAATCTAAAATGTGTGGGCTGCTGGCGAGGCTGATATATTCTGCAGTTATGTGCTGTCATGTGTGTGTGTGTGTGTGTGTGTGTGTGTGTGTGTGTGTGTGTGTGTGTGAGTAGCAGATGAAGGAGTGAGATTGTCAGGGTGAATGTTTCTATTTCATCCTCTTATCATGTTTATTTCAGGCTATCGTTAGATAACTTTTTCCATCTCTGTTTTCACGGCTGACAGGACAGCAGTTACTATTAGCAATGCAGCGTGTGTGTGTGTGTGTGTGTG